GCTGGGGCAAAAGTAACACATACTGTGGTGATATTTGAGAGTAATTAGAACCACATTGGGCTGTGATGACTACTATGTAGTGGTTTTGCTCCGAGACGTGCTCGCATACTTCATTTGCCTGTTGGCAGTTATAGACAACTGATAAATATTCTGTCATGTTGTTGCATCGGGCTTGTCGCCCCTCGTGTTTGTTCTTTGTGCCAGGAATCGCAGTGACAAGTTGAAAGGGACATATGTTCATCACCAGTTCTATATTTTCATTCTGGGACTTCACTACAGTAGCTTTATATGGTTCCCAGTTGGGGGAAGAAGAAGTCTTATGCATCTGCCTGTTCAGCTCAGTGCATGAAACAGACAGTGTTAGCTCTGGGCTCTTTAAGGCCCCCCTTCCTGAAAGCCCACTTTCTCCTGATTGGCTGGCTTTCCGGAAGCCTTTGGTTTTCAGCACCGCTTCACCGAGAGGACGTTCCAAAAGCAAAACGTAAACTTGCTGAGTGCCATCATTTCTCATTCTTATTTGGGAAGTTCTCAAATCTATTTACACACGTTTGAGCATGAATCTGATCCAGAATCCACAAGAACACGGGTCACAGCAGGACGCCTCTGTTTGGGAAACATGATGATTTAGTTGTTCAGTCACAACCTGCACATAAACATTTTCTATACAGTAAAAGGTGTCTCTCCATAGGCGGGGAAAGGCACTAAATTCGACACCACAGACAGTAAAATGCTTTTCTGATAAAAGCTCATTAACTTAAAATGACACCAAATCAATTATCTTCTTCTACTAACTCTGCGCTGTAGATGCTGAAACACATCAGAAAGCCTGGCGACCAACGCTGTGGCGTACAAATGTACAAATGTGTACCACTCGACTTTAAACCGAGAGCCTCGACCCTGAACCACAACACCAAAGAACAGCAGCAGCAGCAGCAGCGATGTGTGGTGTTTATTAGAAGCACTTCATCAGCTGTCACCCTGTGACATGAATGCACACTGTGAAATGGTCCGTCTAGACTTGACGTCATGTCATTGTTCACACACATATACACACACACACACACGTTCACACTGGAGGTGCCTTTCCCACCTCAGCCTCATACCTGGCACCAGCTCAGTTGTAAATGCATGTCAAGCTAAAGACCACCAGAGGCCAAATTAGCAACGTCAACCAGAAAAATAACAAAAAAAGTAAAAATAATAACAATATAATTCCACTTTATTCAGATGAGTCAAAACAAAGATGCAGTTTTGCCTCGTTTCCCACTGATTGGCTGAATATTATCCATCTACTCATGCTGAATGAAAATGCACAATTCTACGTGGTTATCTTTTCAATATCAGATTATAATTTCAAATCAGTTCTGAGAAAGTTGTACGACGTGGCATGCAGGTGGCAGTGGCTCGGTGTGTTGAGAAGTGGCTACGACAGACCGCAGGATGACTTGGACGGCCACATAAGAGAGACGACGCACGGCAGGTTTTTTTTCTGTTTTTTTTTCCCACAAATACTTGTGATTCACCCAATTTATTTAGCTTATTTATCTGTCTCAGGTTAAGCTTCAGGCTGACTTTGAATTATTTTGTCTTTTTATGCAGCCACACTGTCGTCACAGAATATCTTTTTTATTCAAATCTTCCATGCACATGTACACACAACTTACATCTAGTTTCTCCATCGTTATTAAATATGTTCTTCCTTATCCTTCTTATACTATGTTTAGGAACTCAAGGCACTGCAGAAAGATGTAAATAATTAGATTATTTACATGATAAACACACAAGTCCTGTCTAAAAGCTGTGGGGCAGAGTGCTTTATCAAGTTCAGACGATATGTTTAAATCAATAAGCAAGAAAAGCTTCACAAATAGAAAGAAGAAAAAGACAGCAAACTAACAGCACAGTCCAGATGCATCTGTAGAGAGCAAAGGCATGGGAGGCGGAAAGAAAAGACAGAAAACAGAGACAGAAACCGCAGCCGAAGATGAGAAAGAGGACAAATTAAAACAAGACTGCGGAGATCTCCATGACAAATGCATGAGTGAGACAAACATATAGCCGAGCCTGAGTCATTACAGGCATCATGGATCCGGGACGCCTGCTGATTTCTGCCTCTGGTTCAAAGCGCGGTTTGCACTTCTGACAATCTGGTCCAGTGCACTCAAGACAGGGCGAGTTAAAAATGCATAGCCGGGCTCGCAACGTGTCTCCGCTGAAGGCGTAGCGCGAGCAGGACGCTAGCAGGACGCTAGCAGGACACTAGCAGAGCAGCAGCTCCAATGCTCCGTCTGAGTCTGTAAGTCACCTGCATTCTGGGAGCGCTCGGAGGCCAATACATAATCAATATAGTTAGGCACGTAAAAAAAACAGGAAAATAGACTAAGAGTAAAAATATGTTTTGGCTCATGTTTACAAAGATGCTCGGCAAGTAAAACACAAGCTGCTCCGCTGTCAGCGCAGACAGCTGGTTTGATTAAAATAGGGCCTTTCTGTCCCCTCAAATGTGCTCGAGACTGAAGATTGAAAAAACACAGCTGAAACGCTCCGTGTTTTGGCAATACAGGTAAAACCTGTGGGTTAGCTACACTTAAGTGGCTTTATGGCCTGGAACATTTTAATGACATCAAGGAAAACTGGCTTCTGAGACAACTCCAAGTACCAAGTTAGGATAACTCCCTGCTCTCCGCTGTATGCACGAGTTCCCTGCATGCCAGAGGTGCTGACCTTAACATACTCCCACGTGCCCTCTCCCAGTTCAACTTAAACCACTTTTGCCTTCCAGACGAACGAGGTTGAGCAATAATCACGCATACCAAGCCACGGGAACAACAAGAATAGAACAGCTGCATTTAAACAGTGTGCAGGTTTGAGGTTTTGAGAAGAGGTTTCCTATGATTTCATGTATTTTAACTGTTCTACTTGCAAAAGAAACGAATACTGACAAACAAATAATTTATCAGCCATGTTGAAAAGGTTCTTTCCAGCCGATGGCACTTAAGGTCACCTGGATACACAAGGTTTGCTTTACGTTTCTGACTGTAAAGGGAGAATACCTCGTTGACATCCAATGGACTTTCCGGTGGGAGAGGAAGGAAGCGTATGGGAAGTGCTTCACTTCCTCACGCTTCTCAACAAGCCATTCTTCCCTCGCTTTAGTCAAGGCTGAGTAAAGAGAACAAGCCACAAAGGTATTGTGTAAAACAAGGTTTTCAGGGTCAGGAATACTGATGTCTGTGCGTCACATCTTGTATCATTTTTCTGCATCATTGATGCAGTGCAAAATAACATAGAACCAAACCAGGCATGTTTGCTTGTTCTAAAGCCATAGGGAGAGGGCAGGAAAAAAAGAACACTGACAGAAATGGGAAGTGTTGAGTAAGTTACAACGGTGTCGAAAAGGGCTGCTTTAATCAGAAAACGATCCGAAGGGCTCATTATGCAAACGGACCGGTGGAACATTATGCAAGAGTACCAACTCTCTGGACTCCGCATTTACGTCACGTCGACTTGGAATAAGAGGTGCACGCCTTTACACAGAGCAGGGTTGCATGTCAACATCTCACCTCAGAGCGAAGCCCCGATCCAATACTGTGTTCCCAATAAAAGGTAGTCAGCAGAGGCGTCAAAACATCGTGTGCTTGTTTTTTACCCTCTTCAACTCATCCATAACGGATGGCACCATAAATCGCTCAAATTCTTGCGCTCTGTGTATTTACAAGAAAGGGAGCAGGGGAGTAAGTGTTCAGGCAGGGGGGCAAAGAGAAAAAGAGAACAGATTTCATCATCCTTTGCTGTGGTGGCAGCCTATACTAACGTCTCTAAATCAAATGTGTCATCCATGGGACCAGTGTTTTTCCAACCACAATAATGTTACCACCACCAGACTGGGTTTGACCCAATCCAGAAAAACCTCTTTTGAAAACCCCCTAATGTGCTCAGTCCAAATTTGGTAGCACCCTCGTTGGTGGTCCCCCGGTGCCTCTTTGTGTGTGTGTGTGTGTGTGTGTGTGTGTGTGTGTGCGTTTCATCTTTTCAGGAGGCTAGTTTGGGTGAGCCTTCAAAATATGCGCTGCACCTGTCATGTGCCTATACTCCGCAGAAAACAACATAAATTATCCGAACTCTCAACAAAACAATAAATTCTGCGTGTCACCGAGTTGCTTGCAGCAGACGGATCCCTCTCTCAAGGCTCCCTTTAAGGAGTCCCGATGCATTTGTTCTGTTTATGCATCTCGGCCTCCGCTTCAAGTCCCCCTCATCAGCTTATTATACGGTTTCCTCGAGTGCTGTACATTTCCAAGAATAACAGGGTGCAGGTTGTACAGCCACTTCAGAAACCACTAACAGGTCTGACGTCTGTACACACGTCTGATCGAACTGTGAAACGCTACTGGAGGTTAAAAAAAACACAAAAAAAACAAGCATACTTTTACATCCCTGACGTACACGGTTCTTTGCGTAAACAATTAAGGTGAAGAGATATTTGAACCAGTATAATTGCTGAATATTAACAGGGCAAGTCTGCACATTTATGAAGTTTAGATTTCAGATAAGCTGTTGCTTAATTGTAAGGTTAGCAAAACACTCAAAGAGCATCCTTGGAGAAAGAAGCCAGTGTGAAGATTTGGTGGTAAACTAATGAAATAAACCACAACAGTGATGGATTTACACGCTGTGCTTGATCCTTCACCTCACATGACACTAAACAGTGCATGAGAGTCGGCTAAATCTTATTTTAAATACCTTTATATGTGAAGCAGGCAGCAAATACCTGCAACTCAATATTTTTTTTGTCACGAATGCTTTGAAATATTACAGATGCAAAAAAAAAACACATTCAGATCCCTACTGGAGTTACTGTGGGACTGCTGCAGCCAATGAACCTGCTGATGTCCCACAAAAACATCACTCCACTTCATCCAAGAACTGTTGGCAAGCAGATGATCGCATCGAATAAGAAAGCTGTCAGTTGTGAAAGCTTTACAGGCCGCATTTCTTACCTCCTAGTTCTTTTACATTCAAGATGGCATTTGGGAATGGCACTGCTTTGATGCTGAAACCTAAAAGGAGAAAAGTAAAAGTCCATTATTATACAGACATGTAGAAGCTGTGAGTGTGTCTATATGTGTGTGTGTGTGTTTGCATATGTGTGGCCAGCACATGTTATAAGTGATGAGAGTCAGCTTTCAGGAATGTTGGCTACATCACCTTTCAATAGCGAGCACAAAAATCTAACTTTAAAAAAACTCTATTTTATCATTAAGTTTCCCGGAGGATATTTGGTGTACCTTTTCCAAACCACCAGCTGGTGAACACACAGAGGACTGACAACATATTTGTGTTATAAACACGAAAGAAAAACACTTTGTGTGGTCCGGGTTAGCAAAACAGAAAAACAAGAAAAGCTAAACAGAAAAGTGTTTTGTTCTATGCTGGGGTTAGTGGAGGATAGAACTAATCTCTAAAGTGTTACCATGTATTATGTGGTTTGTTTCTGCGGTTGCATACTGGAAATAGTGGGAAATGGTAAAGAAACCCACTGAAGGACGAGATTTAATGTTGCTCAAAATACGCTAAATCGTCTCGGTGGGAACTCCTCCCCGGGCAGCGCTCACAAATAGGAGGAGACGCATGATACAAAACAGATTATGATTTTCTCCACGTCGAAATTAATTGCCGAGCGTAGTTTTTAAGCGCATTACATCAGCGCAAATGAAGTAAGAAGTGAAGGGAACCACATGAGAGCTCCCCCCTCGTTGGCCTTCGTGATCTTCCTTCTGTAGATGTTGGCAGAGGCAGAAAGTGCTGACAGCTAAATCTCATTTCAGAGAAGTTCACCGAAATAATTCTCCGCTAAGGTAGGTAATCGACATATTTTATCTATTAAGGCCAGCTCAGTGGCAGGCGCAGGCAGGTGTTCACTCCACGGAGACGCACAAGCTAACGGTAATGCGCAGCACGTTTGGGAATGGCTTTATATTTAGCCTCTTTTTGGACAAAGGCTAAATCTAAAATGGGACTTCTGCAACAGCTCAACAGTGCTGCTGTCAAAGCCAGGGGAGGAAGGAGGAATGTCAGTGTTCTTGAGGGACTGCGCTGCATATATGGAAAGCAGAGTGTTGACTACCAGGAGAATGATGTACTAACCCTAAAGCCTTCTTCTCTTCTGGACATGCACAACACCAGCCTCCCACTTGACTGCGGGAAAGAAACCGAGTATTGGCTGGCGACATCCTAAAATCAATTCTGGCACGCACACGGGGACTTGGAAAACACACTGAAGGCATTCTTCCCCATATTGGAAAGCTTTAATACCTGGATAATATTATCTATCTGTGATTCTAATGAAGAACAATATGTTCTTGAAGGCCTTTCAGAAGCTTTCAGGAACACATGTGAGGGAAGGGAAATGACTGGAGGGCGAGTGCTTCGATCTCAGCGCACATTTGTTCTCTTTAAAAGAAAAGGAGAAAAAAAAGCCCTCTTTTACACAGATCAATATGTTACATGCACATACCTGTTGTGGGAACGATGCCGTCGCTGCCCTCACTGCAGAGGCGAGAGAGCAAGCTGGTCTTTCCAGCACCTGTCAGGCCAATGCACACCACGTCATACTCTGGTCTGGGTGGCGGGGGTCCTTTACAGCACAGTGCCCGAAAACACTAAAACAAAGCAAACAAGAAAGCGTTGGAAAACAGGCCAAATGCACCCGCCCGCAGGGAGGCGGGGGGCTGGTGATTAAGATTCTGCGCTTGTAATCAAAACAACCGAGTAAACGCTAACGTCGTAGGAACCGTCTCGTGGGCGTTCCGGCTAGTCTGTCGTATGATGGAGCAGGAAACCCCGGTGCATGTCAAAAACAGGTCTGGCATATGAAACACTTCCAGATTGTCAGTTCATGTTAGAGGAGCAAAACGTTTAACCGTGTCCCAGCAGAAGCATTAAAACAAAAAGAATGAGGAACAACAAAAGAGTGCAAGTAGTCGTTCTTGTATGATTTAATGTGGTCGTGTCCTATGGAGCAAAAGTCTACATGGAAATAATATGTTAAGCTGAAGAGGAGAGTCAGATGCACGCATGGAAGCGCTGGTGCAACATGTTTTTGTCTGCTTGTGGACCCTGTCTGATTGGGCCCTTATGGCGGCCAGAGGCAGACCTGTCACTCCATGAATCACGGCCTGGGACTGAGGGCCTGCTGTGAGACATTAAGGGGCAAATGCAGTGTGAACCGTGAATGAGATCTTTAAACTTGTGTGGAGAGATCAGTATCCAAAACTAAAAAGAGATCTCTTTTATTAGCAAGACAGGAACCAGTCTGGACAAGGCAGGGCAGACACACACACACACACACACACACACACAAACACACACACACAGTCTCCCACCCATCCACTATATCACATTTCAGGTGGAGGAACATCAACACGGGATTCTGTACCGCTCATGTCAGGGGACGACCCTGTTCAACACACTGTTACTCCGTTCAATCAAAGACTAACAAGAAGTAAAACACGTGCATTAGTGGAACTGCTGCACATCTGTGTACACACTGTCCAGGTGTGCTCGGGCCAAAAAAAGCTGCAGCTCAGCGTAGAAACCGATAAGGATAAACAAATAATCATTATCAGGTGTGTGTGTGATAAATGTTTAAGATTCAGGTTTAATATAAAAATACAAGAATTACTATTAAAATCAAGTTCTTGTCTTGAACGAATATTTTTCTTTTCTCAGGTTAGCAGCAGCTGCTACGAGACGCAGCCCCTTCGTTTGCTTTAAACCGGAGCAGAACAGGAGATCAGAAAAGAGTATTCCAGCCTCAGTTCTTCCACGGACCCCAAGACATCAGTGACCACCAGGGTCAGTTTTCAGAGTCATGCCAAAACAGAGCTGCTGTTTGATGGAGATGTGGGGAATCTGCTTCAGCAGAACCAGACGTCGGCTGAGCAACCCGACCCCCCCGACTCCTCGGTGAACCCGCTAGTCTGCTCAAACAGGAAACATTCTCCTCTTCCAGAAAAACGGTAAGATCAGAAACACACGCGTGTCAGATGGGGGAACACATGTACAAACTTGGTTTGATTAGGTCGTTCTATTTTCTGTCTTGTTCTTTTTCTCCTCTTGCCACCTCTGACTGTCACCTGCTTTCCCTGAACTTACATGTGAAGGTTTGTGTAGAGGATGAAATGTACCCATCAGCTGTCAGTCCTCTGAGCTGACAGTTAATCTCTCAGAACAAGCAAAGGGTTGACATGAGTAGAGATGGAAGAACTGGAGGAGCTGTGAAGCTGCTGCGAGCTGGAGGACTTTCCTTTTTGTCACCTCCTGATGAAATTATTTCTAGACCAAGTGTACATGACAAAGAAGGCAACAAAGAAGGCTGCTGCCCCACCGGCTATGTGGGAGCAGGCAGAGAGGACAACTCCCACCAGGGAGTTGAGATTTCACAACAGTTACCAAAGGAGCATCCAGGGCCTGACCCCAGGGTCCCCATGTACACAGTGGCCCCTGTGAGAGAGGGATGGCGGCTCCCACCTCTGGCCCTTTTTGACAGCACAAGATTGACGAGGAGAGCTTGGTCAAAAGGCTCACAGGAGAAAAATAAATATGTCGGAGGGCCTTTGCTTACTTCAAAACATGCCCCTCCCTGTCAACCACACACTCGGTGATTTGAGAGTCAGTGTGCTGTGTCACTGGGACCGAGGGCTCAGATGAGAGCGTCCTGTGATGACTACCTGCACAGATCTCTGAGGCATCCAGACTAACAGCTGAGATGGAGATTGAATTCAACAGAAAGTGACTGAGTTGTTAAAGCATTCTCACATGTGCTGTCATGTAGGAAAACCAGCGCCTACGAAGGCCCATCAGCCGCAATCCTCGTTTATTTAAGTTACCATTAAACTCCCATAAGGCCACCTGTTCGTTAAAGCGGGACAAGCTTCCTGCCAAAACACTCTACATAAAAGTCTGCCGGTGCTAGACTTTATTGATTAGCTGCCTCTTACAGGATTGGACATGTTTTAATTGTGCTTCCCTGAAAGACCTGCCGAGACATTACCTCACTGTTGTAGTGAAAGATGATTAGCTCGGCTTTATGTAAATGAGAATCATATCACTGAAGACGTAGCCAGGCTGCACTTATTTCCTAGATGAAAAGGATGCATGACAGAAAGGAGAGCTAAACAGCCCCCCAGCCTCCAATTTGAAAAAGATGTCAAGGCTTTTAATGGGTGACATAATTGAGCCTCCAGGCAGCAGACCAGAGCCCAAGTTGATATTGAACTTATTAGCATTTAGTAAATGACGGGGGCGCCCGCATTAAGAGTTAAAAGGAATATTAATGGTATGAAAGGAAAATATTGCTGCAGTTCTTTCCCCAATATTTTCCTTTAAACGCTGCTTAAAGTCAAACATTGTCAAACAAGCGGCCTATCCAGTGTCACCGCGGAGCCCGCTGACCTCCACGCCGATAATTTGCATACAGTTAACACAGGACATGTCCGCGGATATTTGGATAGCGCGTAAATGGAAAAAGATTGAGCCACAGGGTTCAGGAATTACAAACTGAAGGGTTCAGGCAGAGTTGAAAAATTTCAAGGAAAACCTTTTTTGTCAGTGAGTCATAATCCATCATGCTGCAAATTCACCTGACGTAGTTGGACGGAATAGAAGCCAGGCTCTTTTTAGAAAACCACTTTGTATTTTTAGAGGTAATAAATGTGGGTTAGGAGGAAGCCACTAGCACCGCAGCAGACTAGTTCGTGTTTCACTCTTGTACTCTCTGGGTCCTGTCGAGACACCGCAGGACGGGAAAATAGGCAGTGGCATGACAGTATGTTCTGAACCGAAGTACCCCAACCAGCTTGCATGTGCTGGATGTCTCCCTGCCTCGGTAGTGAAATAACTACACTTAGCACACGGCCAGCTAATGTGCCTGCTGGGTATTTTGATATGCATTACCCAGTCTGAAAGATCCTTCGTGTACGTGCATTTTATTTATTTTTTACTGAGGAACGTACATTAATGCAAACAGCAACAGGAAAAGTTTTTTTTTTGCACAAAACATCTAAACAGGTGTGCAGCATCAAGTAACGCTGCTGCTGCTGCTGGAATACTACGGGCAACCACATAATTAATGCAAAGTCTTGCCAAGAAAAAGTTTGCAGTCTTTCTGCATCATTAGCATCATTAAATCATATTGTGTTTATCCAGATGTTTGGGCCGCGGCATCCAAAGTCCACAAAAATTCCACACTTCAGCACAACTGCTTAGGTAGACGAGATGGGATAAAACAGCGTTTTGCTGGGATACGATAAGAGGGTGCTGACGTTAAACCCCACGGACTCTTCAGCAGAGGTATTTCAGAAGACGAATTTGTTTCCAAAATGAAAAACATGGACAGCAAGGGGGGCACATTAAGCATATACAAAAATAGGGAGGTGTTTATTAGGTCAGATCATAATCTTGTTGGGGGGGAAAAAAAAGTCTCCCTCCAGGAGACCAAGAATTTCTGCAAGACTGTGGAAAAAAAGAAATACTTAGAGTGCTGTGGTTTAGCAGAAGTAAGTGCCTAATGACTTGGCCTGGCCTTACATCTGGCCCACATTCTGCACTTTGTCAAAAAAAAAAAAAAGAACTGGGGTGTTAATCTGGAAGCTATGGATGAAGGAAATCTGTTGCCAAAATGTCAGCGTGGATGTGCTGAGTGCCTACAGCGAGTCAAATCCAAAAGTACACTTTCTTCAGCACATGAGCCTCAGATGCACAAACGATGTTCACGCAGTAAAAACCGAGCACATCCTCTTAAACGGTGCAGAGAAGTGCTGTCATTTTATTAAATATAATAACGCCTGCTGTGTCATATTTACCTCAAAACATTTCCGGTCACTCCGCACACCAAGAAGCAAACCATGGCTTCCTCCTTGGCTGTTAATTTACATAATCAGAGTATCTTAAGAACAGTAAGGAAAGAGGAGAGGAGGAGGAAACACCGGTCTGTGGTAGTCATAGCCCCTGCAGACAGACAGACAGACAGACATGGATGGACAAGCAGGCCGCTCTTATTTTTCCAGACCAAGTGTCGGGACAACACTTGCGTGCAGGGCTCACTCCTGACCTTTGGAAATGACAGTCCTTTATATGGGCGTCCCGACGGAGGAGCGGCGCTAACAGCTATGTGTGTAATACACACCGGCCACAGTCATAACACAGGCCTGCAGCGGAGAAGGACGTCCAGGAAGGCAGTCTGTCAGGGATGAAGGAAGCGTAGAGGGAGTGTGCGGGCAAAGGTGGGGGTGGGATGGATGGCCACATTCATTCATCCTCATTCATCTTCTCTCCTCCCTCCCTCCTCTCCACCCCCCCCCCCCTTCAGTTGTTGTTGATATTTGCCGCTTTGAAGCTGAATGGGGGTTGAACAGTGGGACACAGTGTGGTTGGGTACAGTGAGTGAAGGGGGTGTGTGGGGCGCGCTGCATGCCATTCTCGTTAAGGGGTGAGATAGACATGCTAGACACACAACGCCGCTCGCTGGACTCTTCCCATGCTTGGCTGTTACCACGCCAACCGCAGAACGCTCCAGACCTGGGTCCACCACCCACCACCCACCACCACCTTTTTTTATTCCGCGTTACAACACGGCGTGCATTTCAGACAAGTAGGTGTG